GTGAAATGAAGGTCGTCCCTAACGGGTTCTCATACGGCTCCGTTATTACGAACGCTGGTGTTCCCCAAGTTTCTATCTTGATGTGCTTGAGCAAGTGGATGGTGGAAAGGGTTCAGGGAGAAATAACAAAAAGAAAAAACTTATTAAAAGATACAAGGGACAGGACGAGGTGGAGGGCAATGATCGCCCAAGTGCTGAAGGGATATGGCACATAAATTAAAGAAGAGTTTCTGACGGGTCCAGCTTGTAGCAATATATGTCAATTGTCCGAAAACTGACTTCGCTGAAAGCGCTAAATTGAATTTTCATTTCGTCGAATAGTTGACGTCACTCCAAAATCAAAACGTAGACAGATTAAAGGGAGTTAACTGTTAGATCTGTATGGTACTTTTCTGTAAAATGACAGCCGTTAATATGATTATTGCTTCTTTATGACAAACATATAGGGTGTTCCGAAAGTCTTGTCATCTCCTACCCCAAATTAATGAGAATAATACATGAACAAGTAATACAGTAATACAAAGCACATGTACTGGATTCGGTTTATTCATTTTCATTGACATTGTCATACATCGAGAAGGTCTGTATAAACACTATCATTTTCGTGGCACACAATGATGCGTCGCCATGTTCTGTGTGATACTTTAGGAATATGTGCTTTGTTGACTGTTAAAAAGGTTTTCTGAACGGCGTCCTTCAGCTCATGGAAATTCTGGTATCGTTCATGTGAAACTCTCTCAGTAATAATTACCCCACAGAAGGTTAGAAAATTATGTAGGGGTGACAAGACTTTCGGAACACCCTATACAATTATATTTTATTCATATGCAGGGTTGACCCAAAATTTGGCATCATTTTAAAAGCAATTATCTTGAAAATTACTAAGTTGAACAGTTTAGTTGTTGAACGTCATAAGTTTATTATGGGACCGATTTCATGTGTGTTCAATATGTGAACCGCCTGTGACACGGCACACGTCAATTCGATAGTTAAGATCTTGCCAAACACATGTCTCCAGTAACATTATCCAGTGGGGAAATGATTCTCTGCTTTTACTGACGGTAAGTAACTCTAATACATTTTTCTTCTATTAAATGAAATATAGTCTATGAAAACTAATAATGAAAATATTTTAAAGTTGTAATTAAAATTGTAGTTAATTAAAATGAATTCAAACTTAAACTTCATTTAAATTGTAATTAAATAAATAAATAAAGTCTACTAAATCAGAGAAATGAAAATTTTACTTAAGTAATATTCAAATATAAAATTTTAAAAAAATCGTAATATACTTTATGTGATAATTATTCTACAAATTGTAAGGGATTCTAATTATATTTAATTGTTCTAGAAAGAAATATAGTATATTAAAAATTAAAAGTAAAAATATTTCAAATCGTAGTTAAATAAAAAGTATTCTTACCTAAACAACCCGTTAACAATATAATTAAAAAAAAATCCAGACGACACGCTTTTAACGGAAATTAGATTTCAATGAAAAATACATCCCTTCCCACAACCAAAACGTAGCAGTAACTGATACATTAAAATATAAACATACTGAACACCCAGCCACCCCTGTCTAGAAAAATAGATTCATCTGTAACATTGGAAACATGAATTTTGTTTTAGCTGTGTATTTAAAACCCAGTAATTTTAAAAAGTTACTCCAAAATACGCTTGAGGATGAAATGGAACTAATGTCTTTAATTTAATCACAAAATTAAATTCGGGGCTTTTAGCTTCCATTTTTGAAACATGGTTACAACTGTGTAGCGAAAAAAATATTTTAAATCAATTAATTTATAATATATATATATATATATATATATATATATATATATATAACCATGTATATATAACTATATATATATATTTTTTATATATATATATATATATATATATATATATAATCATGTATATATATATATATATATATATATATATCAACAATCATTTCCATGGTTAATATATATATATATATATATATATATATATATATATATATATATATATATATATATATATTGAACATGTTTCATTAAATAATATAGACAAGTGTTGTTTATTTATTTTATGTAAATTCTTTTCATATCGTCTGATAAGCTTAATAATATTATCATTAAACGAAGATAGAAAATCACAATATTGATACATATTTTTATCTTGTCTAAGCCTTCAGCTCCGTGTATTACAATATATATCGTAATGTAATTGTCATCTTTGATAATCGCTTATGTAAGCCGAAATATATATATCTATATCTATATATATATATATATATATATATATATATATATATATATATATATATAGATATATATTAATTCAAATAATCAGGTCGGCAATGACTGGCCACTATTATTAGTTTCATGTGATTTCACACAACCATCAGGTAGCCAGTGACTTGCAATAAGATGAACAACCCATATACAACCGGGTGAGTTCAATTTGACAAGCAAACCAAACCCGCACGGTTTGTAGGGAGGGTAGATTATCCAACCAAAGTCAATATAGCCAAACAAAAAAACAAAAACAAAAGGTTTCTCACCTGGGAAGACTTGCCAGTATAGCAAAAAACGCTCAATAAAGAAAAACTAATTCCACGGCAGAGGAGCTGAAGCCTTAAGCCAAAATAATACTTTCACGGAAATTGCTCCGAGGAGCTGCATTCGCTGGTTCCCAGACATCATCAGTTCAAGCGCCCTACGAGGCTGGCATCCCGCTCTCACCCTTTCACTGTCGAAACTCCTAAATGTAGCCGTCTCTTCTACTCCAATAGCTTCATGTTCCGCACCTCTCGCCTGTGGAACTCCCTTCCCTATTCCAGTTTCCCTGTGAGCTATAATCTCCAGCTATTCAAGTGTAATGTCAATCGACATCTCCAGTTTCCCTTGATCTATCCACTACCCTCATCCTTTCTTCTATCACTCCTATCTGATCTTGCTCTAAATTTTCTGTAACCCCTTGCGTCCTAGTGGCTTCCCGCCTTGCTTGGGGTTGAAATGCTTAAAAAAAAAGAAAAAGTGTTTAACAGTACCGGACAACCAAATTCATTTCAGAGCATATATGTATTCCATTGTCGTGAAGTAAGTTTCAGTAGAGTAGCTTCGAACCACCTCCGAATAAGATGCATCTCCGATTACTACAGTTTTACTATGTTAAAGTCTAATGTTAACCCTTATATTCACCGTCTATTCACATAAACTGGGCCTCTTACTGTGTAACCCTCTACCTTGAGTGGCTCCCGGGATTTGTATAAGGTGAACATCACTGCAAAAATTGTGTTCAATACTTTAGTTTGACAGAGAGGGTTAACAGTTGTAATGAGAGTCATTTGAGAAAATTCAAAATAAACGAATTGATCGGATATTCAAAGCTTTGGCCGCCTTGAATAAAATGGATGTAATCTGGAAATATATATATATGCAGCATATCTTCATGCAAGCATCTTTCATTGAATAATATAGACATATTTATTTTAAAAATAATCTTTGCAAGTTCTCTAATTATCTTACCTTTAGCGGCGGGAAAGGTTGATATGTCTATATACGGGCCTCTCTGCAACTGGTCAAGATCCGGGTTTTTGTAAGATGCCCTTTTTGTGAGGTGGGGGGTGGAATTAGCAGTCGGCAAGACAAGGTTTCTTGGGAAGTCGTTCGTTCCCGTGGGCATTTTTGTTCTTAAAGTTGCTGTGGTTTCCGAGACAGTATTATTTTTTGTTAACTGCCTGACCATTTTCCCTTTTTCTCTGCCTCTTTTTTTCTTTTTCTCTGTCTATTAACCCCATAGTTCCCCCCCCCAGTCTCAACAGACTCTTTGTGTACATCACTCCAGTTTACGTATCTCATATTATTTCAGTATTAATTTGCAACTGGCGATAAACTAAAATAAACAGGTCGCTTGTTAGCCGCAGAGGATTCATCGATCATGTCACTTTTTATACTACTTATTTTTATTTTTTAAAATCATTTCACTCCAAGTAAGGCGGTAATGCCAGTAGTTTGCAGAGGGTTACAAGAAGTGAAAATGAAGAGAGAACTGTGAATTGGAAGGACTGTGGAAAGCACAAAGGATGAACGAGGTTAAAAAATACAGAAGATGGCATTTGATGCTGCATTTAAATTTTTGAAGACTAGTTATCAGGCAAGCATGTAAATGGAAGGCAGTTTCACAGGCAGTAATTGCGACCCCCCCCCAAAAAAAAACTGTTGGAGTAGTTAATTTTTCCTTTAATTTCTTTTGTATACTGATTTCTTTCCGGATCCTAACCAGAAACCTAAGGTCAGAAATGTGAGCAAAACAAAAAAAATATAACGTAAGAGCAGTCACATTTTACATTGATGAAGCCCCTCGCAAAGAGCTACTCGTTGTGCCTTCTCGACTTAACGTTCTCAGCCGACATGAAGTGAAAAGATTAGATTCGATCCGCTGCTAGGTCAGTTGCTAAGAAAGTTGTTTCACTGTGTGGTGCGAGATAATTTTCTTACATATCTATAAGTCTACCGTTCGTCCATGCCTAGACTATTGCTGTCACATATGGCCCGGTGGCCCTGTTAAATATCTAAAGATTCTTGATAAAATCCAAAGAAGAATAAAAAATATTGTCAGTTTTGATCTGGCGTCTTGGCATCAGTAACTTCCCCACTGCCCTAAAGATGTCTCCCTGTGCATTTTCTATAAGAACTTTCATGACAGCTGTTCTGGTTATTTCTTCGCTATGGCACTTAGACTCTATGAATTTAAGCGCCGTCCTAGACTCTGCCTTCAAAATCTCATCAATTTACAGTTGAGGTGGTTAGATGAAACCGCAAGTTCTATGCTAACAGTTTCTTAGCGCTTGCGGAACTTCCTTCCGGCTCGATGCTTTCTAGCCAACTTTAATCTGCAAAAAATTAAACGCAATCTACTGTCCTTCTGGTTACTCTTTCCTCTTCCCGCTCGTTATTAATGTTTCTGTTCTTAATTCTTCCACACCATGTAACCCCCTTGTGTCTCAGTGGCTTTATTGCCTTACTTGGGGGTGATACCGATTAAAATAAATCTCTCTCTCTCTGTGTATCTATCTCTGTCTTTTTATATCTATCTATCTATCTATCTATCTATCTATCTATCTATCTATCTATCTATCTATCTATCTATATGTCAGTCTTCTCATATCTTTTTTCTTTCTTCCGGATCCACGCATTCCAGCCAACTTTAATCTTCAAAAATTTAAATGCAATGTTAATCGTTATCTACTGTCCTCCTGATTACTCTTTTCTCTTCCCGCTCATTATTAATGTTTCTGTTCCTAATTCTTCCCCACCCAATAACCCCTTGTGTCTTAATGGCTTTACTGCCTTGCATCGGGTGATACCAATTAAAATAAATCTCTCTCCTTATCTATCTATCTATCTATCTATCTATCTATCTATGTCAATCTTTTCATATCCTTCTTTCTTTCTCCCGGCTCCAAAAATTTAAATGCAATGTCAATCGCTATCTACTATTTTCCTGATTACTCATTTCTCTTTTCGCTCGTTATTAATGTTTCTGTTCCTGATTCTTCCACACCTTGTAATCCCTATGTGTCTTAGTGGCTTTAATGCCTTGCATCGGGTGATATCTATCTATCTATCTATCTATCTATCTATCTATCTATCTATCTATCTATCTATCTGTTTGTTCCTATCTATCTATCTATCTATCTATCTATCTATCTATCTATCTCAGTCTTTTCATATCTTTCTTATTTTCTTTCTTCCGGCTCCATGCTTTCCAGCCGACTTTAATCTGCAAAAATTTAAATGCAATGTCAATCGCTATCTACTATTTTCCTGATTACTCATTTCTCTTTTCACTCATTATTAATGTTTCTGTTCCTGATTCTTCCACACCTTGTAATCCCTATGTGTCTTAGTGGCTTTAATGCCTTGCATCGGGTGATATCTATCTATCTATCTGTCTATCTATCTATCTATCTGTTTGTTCCTATCTATCTATCTATCTATCTATCTATCTATCTATCTATCTATCTATCTCAGTCTTTTCATATCTTTCTTATTTTCTTTCTTCCGGCTCCATGCTTTCCAGCCGACTTTAATCTGCAAAAATTTAAATGCAATGTCAATCGCTATCTACTATTTTCCTGATTACTCATTTCTCTTTTCACTCATTATTAATGTTTCTGTTCCGAATTCTTCCACGTCTTAGTGGCTTTACTGCCTTTCTTGGGGGTGAATTCGAGTAAAAGAAAAAAGTGCGAGCTGTTCTTTTTAGAATATTTTGTTTGTATTTCTTTAAAGAAAGGTATAACAGGAATCTCTTCAGACAGTGTATCAGGATCTTTTTTCAATTAATCTTAATTAATTAATTAATTTTATTCTTATTTACAGTAAATCCCCAGGTTATGACAGTCCCGACTTACGACGATTCGTAGTTATGATGCAATCAGCATTAATCATGTTTTGATTTATACCGTTTACCCAGTACATATCACGCAAACTCTGCGGACGAAATATATTACCCGGCGGAAGAATACTTCGTCAATCAGCGCTAAAGTGAAGAAAGCGGAGTGGGTCAGTTTCAGGTTGTACGCCATACTGGACTATTGTGCATCCTCTCTCTTTTGTTTGTGTTGTGTTTGTAGAAACTTATTGCCTCCCATTATGGCCTCCCAAGTGTGTGGTGTTTCGAAGAAATGGAAAGCCATCACTATGGAACTGAAATTAGACATTGTTAAGACCTCTGAAATTGGAGAAATCCTTGACCTTAGTTTGATGTGATTTTAATTTCCTTAAAACATGTACATATTTGTATACATATTGAGTTTCCCTGTAAGAGACAAGGATATTTTCTTGTCAAACTAGATATTGGTGAATTCTCGATCGATTTTATCTTTTTCTTTAGATTTGCACTTCAAGCGAGACAAGATCTTACGCTTCGTGATCTCATCTACCGAGAGTTAATGATATCACTGGCAATAAATATACAAGCAACGTAAAACAAATTTATTTCATTTCATTATATGTATAGTATTTATGACATCCATGTGTTTTTTTTTGTCCTAATTACGTTAAGATATGTCATAGAAATGTGTTACTATGTCCTGGATTATTACTTTACTATTGGCTTACTATAGGTGAGTGACGTAAGTGCTTGTTCACGGAAAATCGCTGATATGTTCCGAATTACACGGAAAATAGCGGATATGTTCCGAATTACACGGAAAATCGCGGATATGTTCCGAATTACACGGAAAATAGCGGATATGTTCCGAATTACACGGAAAATCGCGGATATGTTCCGAATTGTACGGAAAATCTCGGATATGTTCCGAATTACATGGAAAATCGCTGATATATTCCGAATTGCACGGAAATCGCGGATATGTTCCGATTTACACGGAAAATCGCGGATATGTTCCGAATTACACGGAAAATAGCGGATATGTTCCGAATTACACGGAAAATCACGGATATTTTCCAAATTACACGGAAAATAGCGGATATATTCCGAATTACATGGAAAATCGCGGATATGTTCCGAATTGTACGGAAAATCGCGGATATGTTTAGAATTGCACGGAAAATCGCGGATATGATCCGAATTGCACGGAAAATCGCGGATATGTTCCGAATTACACGGAAAATAGCGGATATGTTCCGAATTACACGGAAAATCGCGGATATGTTCCGAATTACACGGAAAATAGCGGACGGAAAATTACACGGAAAATCGCGGATATGTTCCGAATTGTACGGAAAATCTCGGATATGTTCCGAATTACATGGAAAATCGCGGATATATTCCGAATTGCACGGAAATCGCGGATATGTTCCGATTTACACGGAAAATCGCGGATATGTTCCGAATTACACGGAAAATAGCGGATATGTTCCGAATTACACGGAAAATCACGGATATTTTCCGAATTACACGGAAAATAGCGGATATATTCCGAATTACATGGAAAATCGCGGATATGTTCCGAATTGTACGGAAAATCGCGGATATGTTTAGAATTGCACGGAAAATCGCGGATATGATCCGAATTGCACGGAAAATCGCGGATATGTTCCGAATTACATGGAAAATGGCGGATATGTTCCGAATTACACGGAAAATCGAATTATAACGCATCGTAGGAATAGAAATCTGTCGTTAGTCGAGGACGCTGTGTATATGTTTAAGTATTCGTTTATTTTAAAGTTTTACGTCTGCCAAATTGTTTCAGTCCTATTTTAGTTAGAGGAGGCGTTGAACTGAAAAAAGTCAAATCGTTTATTATTCGAAGGCGGTTCGTTGATTATGGTTCTTTCAATGAATCTTTGAATCAATTATTAAACATTCCTTTCCCAGATCGAGATTATGTCCCTGAAAGTTGCCGTGGTATAATATAAAATTAATGTGGGAGTTATTTAGTAAGATGTGGCGATAAACTGAAAAATGTCCGACCGTTTATTAATCTAGTCCTTTCAATGCATTGTTCACTAAATAAATTATTAAACATTCCTTTACCAGGTCAAAATTATGTCCCTTAAGGCTGCCGTGTAATAATATAATTTAAGGTGTGTATTATTTAGTAAGAGGTGGCGATAAACTGAAAAAAAGTCCGACTGTTTATTAATTGAAGGTGCTTCGTAGATCATGGTCATTTCAATGCATCATTGTCTGAATAAATTATTATACATTCCGTTTCCAGGTCGAAATTATGTTCTTGAAGGCTGCCGTTGAATAATATAAGAGTATTGTGCGTGTTATTTAGTATTAGGAGGCGACATAAGAAAAAAATATCGATCGTATATTAATCAAAAGCGGTTCGTAGACCATGGTCCTTTCAATACATCTTTCACTGAATAAATTATTAAATATTCCTTTCCCAGGACGAAATTATGTTCCTGGAGTCTGCTGTGAAATAATATAAGAGTAATTTATCTGTTATTTAGTAAGTGGAGACGATAAACTGAAAAAAAGTCCGATCGTTTATTAATCGAAGGCGGTTCCTTCGATCATGGTCATTTCAATGAACCTTTGTCTGAATAAATGGCATTGATTTTCTAGAATCGCCTATCCAGTCACATGATCTTAATTGTATGGGAAAAATTGAAGTAGAGTACATGCAAGAGATCGAAAATATATCAAGGAACCGAAGAAAGTCTGTGAAGAAGAATGAAAGTGCCAAAATCTTCATGCAAATAGCTCGTTGGAATCTACAGAAAACGAAAAGAGGTTGTCTGGCAGAACAGAGTTACTTTATATTAACAAATTATGGTAAATTCTTTTGCACACTGTGAAATTCGAAGATTGGCAATTAAATTACATTTATGTTTAGTTACACAATGTTGATTTAAACATTTGACGTACGTGTCATTCAAATTGAAAAAAATTATTCTGAAATTTATAAAACACCGATATGATAAATACTTTTGCTATGCACAGTATATATATATATATATATATATATATATATATATATATATATATATATATATATATATATATATAACTCAATATAATCCATGCGCCCTTTTTTTAAATAATTGCTCTAGCCGTTACCATAGTAATTTTTATTCTAATAATGAATATGCTTATCAAACGCGTACATTTCAGGAATTAGTTATTCCCCAAAAAATTCCGCTTGAAGATGGAACAGAGCTTGGTACTTTAATTCAATTTAATTCAAATAATTATATTGAAGTTTTCAGCTCTTGTTTTGAAACATGAGAACTCTTATGTAGCGATGGAATCATATTTTTAAATATATAATTATATTTAGGCTCTATTTTTGTATCGATCACTGTTTTTTAAAAATAATGTCAAAAATACTGAAGGACTTTGGATTATTTACCTAACGAGTTCTTTCCTGTTTTCTATATATTTTTACACACACACACACACACACACATACACACACACACACACACACACACATATATATATAATTATTTAATTATTTTATATTTAATTATTTAAAAAAATTTGATTCCTTCGCTACATAAGAGTTCTCATGTTTCATAAACAAGAGCCAAAACCTCAATATAATTATTAAAACTAAATTGAATTAAAGTATCAAGCATTGTTTGATCCGTTTGATCCTCAAGGAAAATTTAGGAATACAAAATTGAGATTCCTAAATTTTCCCTTGAGGTTGAAACAGCTTGATACTTTAATTCAATTTAATTTTTTTAAAGAAATAATTATAATTTAAGCTCTACTCCTGTATGGAGCACATTTTTTTTTAAATATAAACAAAAATACTTAAGAACTCTCGATTATTTACCTAACGAGTTCTTTCCTATTTTTAAAAATATATATATATATATATATATATATATATATATATATATATATATATATACATATACATTGAAACGACGACTAGGGCCATCCTTTCATAGGATTTAACGTTGTTAAGCGATTTTTTGCTCTGTCAAGGCAATCTCGGCTTCGAACACTTTATTGAGAAGGGAGGTTTCACGTTAGGTCTTTTTTTTCTCTTACAGTTTTCAGTGTCATCGTTTTGAATCGTGACTGTATCTGGATTAGAGTTTTGTGATCTGGAATGCTTGTGTCAAGAGAATCGCTAAGATCGCTATTTAGAAAATGGGTTCACTCTTACGGGACAGGAATTTTTTAAAAACGAATCAGTATAATTCATAAGCCTACCATTCGTCCCATTATTGATATTGTTTCCATATCTTGTCTGGTGCATTTGCTAGATATGTAGAGAAACTATACAAACCTGCAATATTATTGGTTCACACCCGGCATCAAGTTAGGCATTAGCAAATTATAATTAACGTTCGGAGTATTTGTTTTGATTCCGACAAGTTTAATTATTCTCCAATTTTAATGAAACCTTCGAAGCATTTTTGATTGATACCGATGTGTTTAGGCACTAACGTCTGGAGCATTCGTTTTGATTCCACATCTTTAGGTTTTATCCACTTTTAATGAAGCATTCGAAGAATTTGTTTTAATTGATACTATTGTCTTTAGGCAATATCAATTTTTGAACAGTATTCGAAGCTTTTGCTTTGTTTCAATTCATTCTAACGTAGTTTTGTCTTATGCCATTGTAATCAGAATTCATAGGACTTGTTTATTTGATTTCTATGTGTTTAGGTATTTCTCCCCTTTTAATCTGCATTCGGACCATTAGTTTTAATTGATTTTTGAAGTGTTACGCTTTTGTCCCAACCACAGCATATTTGATTTGTGTTCTTATTTAGTTTACTGATTCATGTAACATTTATCCATTTTATTAACTATTTTATTTCATCTTACTTTTAGATTAGGCTCTCTCTTGTAAGTTGTTTGTTTAGCTTTATTTTATTTTACGGCATTTGAACACCTCAATGGTTTATTTAATGCCGACTAGATTTTTAGGATTGGTTCGTATGAATAGCAATTTAGTGAAAACAGATTATTAACAAAAAGAACGAATACAAAAATGTTGCACGCCTGACTGACGGCAAAGTACAGTAGTCAACTCGTCAACAATATTTAACGATCCCCCCACGAGGATTGAATGTGGCACAAGGCCGAGTTTAATGTAGGTATCTCCGAGCCCGTAGGCTCGGCCAAAAATATAGCCTTTGAACCCACCTAGACGGGTTCACGCCCTGTCTAGCTCCCCGGACGAAACCTTGCCCTTCGGCAAAGCTTCGTCCGAGTTCCTCTCTGCTAATGCAGAGAGTTCGACAGAAGTCGTACACGTAGTCAACAGTAGTCACCTCGGCAAATAGAAAGTTCTCTTGAGAGGCATAATATAGTAATAGGACGAGTCCATTTAGTTCATAAAGGTAGGTCCCATAACAGATACCAAGAACTGTTTTTAAGTTGTTTTTTGTCTACAAGAGACGGATTGACTAGAAAAATGCACTGTGTACTGTGATCTACGAATAAAAAACAAAACAAAACAAAAACAACAAAAAAAAACCTCAAGGTATTTTACAAAAGAAAACCTTAACCAAGACGCGTGAATAAAACAATCTCCCTAAAGGATTGCGTCCACAGAGTGGGATTGCCCTCAATCCCTCCATGTTCCGTTGGCAATTTCCATTCAGGCACATTCTTCCCAAGAACGATTACTCATAATCCTACATACACATCTTAATTTGATATCACACACACCGCATTCTACTTTTTGAGGTTCATAATCCTTGTATTACGTGTATATTAGTTAAAATGTTTTCAATTGTTTTCGGATATATATGTCAAATCAAGCCACACTCAAGAAAACATTTTAACTAATATACACCTAATACAAGATATATATATATATATATATATATATATATATATATATATAGTGATTTTCTAAGCCCGGCTTAGATGTGGCACAAAGCCGAAAGTGTGGGGCACCCAGTGAGGATCGAACTCATTATTCAGTCGAAAAGTGATCTAGCAAAGACAAGTTTTCTAACCCCATTACACCACGTCGAAGTGCCCAATATATATATATATATATATATATATATATATATATATATATATATATATATATATATATATATATATATATATATATATATATATATATATCCCAAGCGGATAGGATCCGGAATATCTATCTATCTATCTATCTATATATATATATATATATATATATATTGGGCACCTCGACGTGGTGTAATGGTTAGAAAGCTTGTTAGAAAGCAACCGTCCTAGGAGGAAAGAAAGTCTGAATTTAAAATAATAAGTTGAATATCGGATTCGGATGTCTAATTGCACTGTGAGACAGTGAATCAATGCTGTCTGCGAATGACATATATATTTAATAAGAAGACACTGTCTAGTTTTAGTGGAATGATTTAATGCCCCTCATTGCCAAACGCCTCTGATATCGATAAACCAACCAAACAAATAACAGGCGATTATACACTCTCTTTTGTCTGCACATTGGAGGTGATAACGTATCTAATTCAGTTTGATTTATGGTTAAGATCCCAAGGCAATTTTCCTTCATATATAGTTCTATAATTTTAATCTGAGGAAGCCAAAGAGAAAAGACGCTCTGGTGAAACGCGTTGTTAATAAATTTTCCAATTTGCTTTATTGTTTTCCCGCTTCCATTATGTCATATGTATTTTAGACTTACATTATAACTCTGGAGTAATTATTATTTTATTGACCCAGTCAAAATAGAAATGGGCGTAATAACAATGTTGTTTTTACTGACTAATGATGTCATCAGTACCCATCAATGTCATGCTGATGACAAAGGCATTTATCCATGGCAAATATTTACTTCTCTAGGTCAACCACTCAAGGCTATCACTGAATTTGTATATCTTGCTGAAGATAAGGACGGTGACCCCCGATCCATAGCTTTAGATATCTGGAAGGCATTTCACAGGGTTTGGCATATTGGCCTTTATCCCAAGTGCCTCTGGCGGAATATTCGACGAGATCAATTCTTTCTTAACAAATTGCGTGATGAAAGTAGTGTTGAACGGCCATTATTCTAGATCCCTTTGCCATTAATGCTCACTTCTACATGGGAGCTATCCTTGGACCTACGTTGATTTTTTTAAATCTTAATCAACGATTTTTGTCTTGCCCCCCCCCATTTATATTCTTTTTGTTTATATATATATATATATAAAAACGAAAAGAATCTCTCTCTCTCTCTCTCTGTATTTGTCAACCTATATTTTTTATTTTTCTTATTTATTTATTTATTTTTTCTTTTTGACTAATTTAAAGTATTTACTTATTTGTCTTGGGTTCTAATTATTCTAGCCTAATCTGTAACCCAGTAAGTATGTTTAGTTGGCAATCTCCCTTCCAAAAAAAAAAAAAAAAAATAAAATAAAATAAAATAAAAAAAATAAAAAATCGTCTTGGACAGCATTCGAACCTACGTCGTCGATATTCTTATGTTCTAGTGGGACGAATATTTTTGCTAGATAAAATAGACTAGCGTGGAAATTCTTTCTTCCCGTTGTCTTTCATTCTATTGAAAGGAAGTAACCCAAACCCATTGCTGGTGGTAGGGGGAATTGACCGTCCGCCCCCCGCCCAGGTTTGCCTTCTCTGAAAGAAAGTGCTTGGTGATAAAAACGTCAGCATTTCCCTATTCACTAAGTGACCATGAGAATGGAAGACGGTGAATATGATGACTTGCTACCATATGTAAGTATAATCATATGCCATATCCACAATGTTGTCTAGCCAAAATTTTGAGGATAAAACAATGGGACTTATACTAAGTTAAAACTTAATGTAATGGAAGGGAAAAATACAAATATCCCAGTCCTATCCCTCGGTAAATATGTCTTAAGGGGCTCAATCTAAGAGTAGAGAAATAAATATTTATTATAAACTGTTACATTGGAAAATGCAAGTTACCACGACAAAAATGCATAATTGCTTCGACATCCAAAAACGTCTCGTCAGGAGGCTAATAATGGTGGTAATCAAATTTGGGGTCTGCCATCGTCTGCCAATCGCCGAAATAGCTGGTCTGGTCTGGTCTGGTCTGGTCTGGTCTGGACTGGTGTAGTCTGGTCTGAGTCTAGTCTAGTCTGGTTTGGTTTGGTTTGGTTTTCGCATGTTGAGAGCGCCCCCATCGACTGAGAACCCCCCACCCCCCAAAAAAAACTGGTTTTATATAGCTCTCCCAGTCTCAGATCAGCACTGACTATTGGCTAATACCTGACCTGTACCGTTCATATGTAAATAGCGCCACCTACTTTAAGTAGAATGTTTTCTCTCAACAGCCCATTGTGGAAGGGGACGCAACTCCTGGTGCTGACAGCACAACATACAACCAACTAGGAGTCTTTTATCGGGCTCTGTTGCAACAAGTATATTAATACTCCAAGCTATGAACGTGGTGTATATCTATCTAATCCCCTGTTTTAACTCTAACATTGTTAGCCGCTTGACGAGACGTTTTTGGATGTTGAAACAAATATGCATTTTTGTCGCGGTAACTTGCATGTTCCAATGTAACAGTTTTATATATATATATATATATATATATATATATATATATATCAAAAAGTGGCGACACTCTATTTTATACCTAAACGCAATCTTCAAGCAATGTGTATTGCAATGTATTTTGACTCGATTGCTTTTATCTTCTAGTTAACGGTGCATTATGGGTAGTAAGGTCTCTTGTATTAACCTGGTTGCTTATGTGTGGCCAGTAGCGGTTATATTTCAAATTATTCTAATGGCTATTGGCTGGAAATAACTGTAGAATTGTAGAATTCGAACTCGCCTCACTGTGGAGTAATGGATAGTGGCTCTGACTGAGAATTCAGAGAGCCGAGTTCGAATTCCAGTCGAATCCATTACATTCACTTACGTGCTAATAATACCCTTGGGCAAGGTATGAATCCTCTTCTCCCCCAGCTATGGGTAAATAGCAGGACAGACCGAGTTCTATAGCCTTGGATGCCAAATGGTCTACCGTAGAAAGAAACAGCAACCTACTGTGGGAAAAATCTGCCTCGTCAGTCATGTATCGAAAGATACATGATCGGCCAAGCGTGTATCACGCATGACACATAATTGACTGATACTTGGGATGTGTATGAACCATCTTCTCCTGCCAGCTATGGGTAAATAGCAGGACAGACGGGGTTCTATAGCCTTGGATGCCAAATAGGGAAATGTCTGCCTGGTCAGTCATGTATCGAAAGATACATGATCGCCTAAGCGTGTATCCCGCATAGCACATAGCTGACTGAGAGTCCGATAGTGTTATAAAAACCGCGGAGAATTCCAGTAAGATATCTTTAATCATTTCTATGTTATTCAAGTATACTATTTTTGAAGAGGTTGAATGTATTTTACTTTTTTGGGTAATTTCATTTTATTATTTCGTTTTAGGGTTGCTGATTCTTTTCCCGACACATATAAGGAGCTTACGGACATAGCACGTTGAAACACAGGTCTCGGTACGATCATCGAATTGAAGCAATGTAGATCCTAGTCAGTATCTAGATGGGTGACCGCTTGGGAATACCAGGTGCTGTAAGCTTGGATGTGCGGGTGATATAGAGAGCTTACGGCCATAGGATCATCGAAATGAAGCAATGTAGATCCTGGTCAGTATCTAGATGGGTGACCGCTTGGGAATACCAGGTGCTGTAAGCTTGGATGTGCGGTTGGTGTAATAGATAATGGCCATGAATTGTTAATCGGAGAGCCGAGTTCCAATTTCAGCTGGGAAGTATATTCACCTACGCGCAAAATAGCATTTAAAAAGGTAACAGTCAACTTTTTCTGCCTCCGTTATGGGTTAATTAGTAAGACTTGTAATACTAAACCCTTATTATCTCAAAAAAGAAAAAAGTTCTTGCCATCTAAAAATATTTTTCTGGCTTGAAATAACCTGTAATGGTTTGATAAGCCGTAGAAAACAAATCAATCAATCAATCAATGAAATACTGATTAGCTACACAGGCATGTCTTTTCGATTTATTTAAATTCTCTGGAAGAGAAATGTAGAGAAACTACACTGGACACAAAGTGAAGGATCAGTTTATATATAGGTTGTAATTTAGAATTGATCCCCCACTTTATATACACATTATAATTTCTTGTTTGTTGATAAGCCGTAGGAAATCAATGAAATGCTGATTGGCTACACAGGCATGTCTTTTTTATTTATTTACATTCTCTGGAACATAAATATATAGAAACTACTCTGGCCACAAAGTGAGGGATCATTTTATATGTTGACTGGAATATAGAATTGATCCCTCACTTTATATCCATGCTATAATTTCTTGCTGGCATGTCTTTTCGATTTATTTACATTCTCTGGAACATACATATATAAAAACTACTCTGGCCACAAAGTGAGGGATCAGTTTATATATTGATTGTAATATAGAATTGATCCCTCACTTTATATACACATAATTTCTGGCTTTAAACAACCTGTAAAGGGTTCATAAACCATAGAAAACGAATGAATCAATCAATGAAATACTGATTAGCTACGCAGGCATGTCTTTTAGATTTATTTACATTCTCTGGAATAGAAATATATACAAAATCTGGTGGACACAAAGTGAGAGATCATTTTATCAATTGATTTTAACACAAAATTGACCCCCCCACTTTATATCCACATTATAACTTCTTGTTTATCACATTCTGAATAGGTATGAATCAAGCTCTTCTCGCCCACCTGTGGGTAAATTAGTAAGACATGCATTACGAAATCATTATTATCGCAAAAACGAACATTCTTAGTTTAAAAATATTTTCTGGCTTTAAATAACCTGCAAACGGTTGATAAACCGTCGAAAACGGATCAGTCATTGAAATACAGATTAGGTACACAGGCGTGTCTTTTAGATTTCTTTACATTCTCTGGAATATAAAGGTATACTACTGTGGCCATAAATTGAGGGATCAGTTTTTATTTTGATTTTAATAGCGAATTAATCATCCGTTTCTTTTTCTTTATCAATTTCTGAATGGGTATGAATTATCTCTAGAAAAAAATATTCTTAAAATCTAAAAATATTTTCTGGCTTTAAATAACCAGCACAGGGTTGGCAAACCGTAAAAAATGAATGAATCAGAATCAAGAATAATGATAAAGTACGTCATTTATATAAATAGAAGGGACACTCAAACTTATGATAATTACGATGTAGAAATTTCTATGCGTCATTCCACAAATAACTGTGAAGAAAGCCCAAAACAATACCAAACAAGAAATCGTTTTAAGTGTGACATGCAGTTACATGTAGAAGATCACATTTCAAAACTGCCTGTTTGACAGTGGCATCGCGTATAAAACAAAGTAACAAAGGCACTCGGTCTAAAACATTTGTTTCTACAAGTTTCAAAACAGCTTGATATGAAGCATTTGATCTAAATGACTCAATAGAAAAAAAAAGATAAGAATATCAACTTCACCCCAAGCAAGGAGGTAAAGCCACTGAGACACAAGAGGATTACTAGGTGTGGAAGTTTTAGAAGCAGGAATGATTGCTAGTGAGCGAGAACAGAGAAGAATATTCAGGAAAAGCAGATAGCGATTTACAATGCATTTAAATTTTTGCAGATAAAAGTTGGCTGGAAATCATAAAGCCGGAAGGGAGTTCCATAAGCGAGAAGTGCAAGAAAAGAAACTGTTAGCATAGAACTTGCGGCTACGATTAGCCAGCTCAACTGTAAATTGGTGAGACCTTATCTCCAGTCTTGTACTTCGCTTAAATTCAGAGTCTCAGCACCATAGCCAAGAGCTTATGCCTCCCTGTGTATGATGATAAACTACATCCGGCAGCAAGGCCTCAACTTGCCACAAAGTGACCTCCACCCCCCACACGACTTGATTTCTTGTTAACCATGTTCACCATAGTCTATGAATATAGAATACAGCGCAGTACGTAATCTGTTTAATGAAACAACGTTAAAGATTAACACTCACGAGTCAGACACTCTACTGAATCTGACAATATCGCCAATACCACCAGCAGCTGTTCCGTAATTCTTCAGTCTTCAATATCAAAGGCTGGCAGTGATATTTAGCCCCACCCCACCCACGATGGTTACATGTGGCACAAGGTCGGGATTAACGTGGGATCTCCGAGCCCGTAGGCTCGGCCAAAAATATTCCCTATTCGAACGCGTATAAACATGTTCAGGGGCAGTTAGCCTCCCCGAACAAGACTCTGCCCTTCGGCGGAGCCTCGTCCGGGTTATCAAAGGCTGGCAGTGCATATTCGGGAAAAACATGGCCGCCTTTATACATGTTGCATTGAATATTTTGAGCTTTCTGATTGGTTAACCCTTCTGTTGGTGAACTATAAAATGAGTCAGCTCATTTTGGCTGGCTCACTAGTACACCAGGGTACCCAAAAATTCCAACAATGACCTTCCTCTGCAGGACATATGGAATGAGACATGCAGAATCTAGTTATGAAAATGCAACGGACTTCCGCCGACTCTGGTATAATTTCGAGTGGCGCCTTCTGTAGCATATCCGTCATGCGTAGCCCTCTTCGTTCGATCTGAGATCTGTTGTAACCATCATCCGCTTGTTTCACTGCTCGAGTTACTTGGGTTGCTCGCGTTTAGTGAGGAATTTAGTGAGGAGAATTGAGGAAGGACAATATGGGAAGGAAGTTCACTGAGGCAAAAGTTTGACTTTGCAGTTAGATTTTCGAGGATTTTAGGTGGAGGTGAAGCAAGAACTTGGAAGGGAGTTTCACAGGTGAAAAGTACGTGAAAAGAAACTGTTAAAATTGAAGAGACGGCTGCATCTAACTAGTTCAGAGATCTAGTTGCCAATCAAGTAGCCCGCTTAAATTCATATTGTCGAGGCTCCAGCAAAACAGTTGAAAATAGTAAACCTCATCTCGCTTAGAATGTGATTGAAGTTGAGATGCCTGCTCAGGTTGGAACACATTACATACCGTTCTGTAGTTGTTAACCAAGAATTTCTTCTTTGCTGATCGATGATTAAGTTGATCACTAAATTCTCCGCCAACATACAGATTCAGGACTAGAAGCTTCCAGTTTCAACAATGAATACGGAATGAAAATGCAACGGACTGCCACCGACTCTGCAGGACATATGGAATGAGACATGCAGAATCTAGTTATGAAAATGCAACGGACTTCCGCCGACTCTGGTATAATTTCGAGTGGCGCCTTCTGTAGCATATCCGTTAAACGTAGCCCTTTTCAGCCACTGGTTTAATCGTTGAAGTCTGTTGTAATCGTCCTCCACTTGTTGCACCGTTATAGTCTATGTGGTTGGTCACGTTTAGACTGCTTGGTTTCTAAAGTAATAATAATAATAATAATAATAATAAAGTAATAATAATAATGTGTTACAATTGATAATGAAATATTTACTCCGACATTTTTTGTGTCCATTGAGTGTGCGTTTCTATGTACATACCTCTGATGGTCGCTCCTTGTGGAGATGGAGCTTACGTAGTCCAATGACTGCGAGTGACGCCGTTGGAAGTTCTCAACTCCTGGTAGAACCACCCAGGCTAAGCGCGACCTTCCTCTACGGCATATATGGAATGAGACATGTAGAATTCAGTAATGAAAATGCAACGGACTTCCACTGACTCTGTTATAATTTCAAGTGGCGCCTTCTGTAACGTCCGTCGTGCGTAGCCCTCTTCAGCAACTGGTTTAATCGTTGAAGTCTGTTGTAATCATACTCCTCTCGTTCCATTATAAATTACTAAATGATAAATATTCCATCGCATTAGTTTTAATTGTATTAGATTTTAGATTGCTATAAATAATACATTATTCTTGTAAATAAACAATCAGAAACCTTGATATATTCGAGAGACAGAATAATCAAGAAACTATACTGGCAGCAAACAGCATGCATACGCATAGAGAATATACGAAAATAGAAAGGAGCGTAAGGCAAGGGTATACCTTCTCACCGGACTTATTCAACCTATACAGAGAAGTAATTCTGAGAGAAGTGGAAATTGTACCGGGATTCAGCATTGGCGGCCACAATCTTACCAACATAAGATACGCAGATGACACAGTACTTATTACGTATGGAATAGTCCATTATGTTATTATGGGTAAGGTCCCATAACACCTTCTCTGAAAAGGCGTAAGGCAAGGATGCGTCTTCTCACCAGACCTGTTCAACCTATACACCGAGGCAATCCTGAGAGAATTGGAAACCCTACTGGGATTTAGCATTGGCGGCCATAATATTAACAGCATAAGATAAGCAGACGACACAGTACTGATAGCAGACACGGAAATGAAATTACAAAACCTCCTACAGAAGGTAGCGACGGAGAGTGAGAAGAAGGGACTAAGCATAAACTACAAGAAAAAGGAGTGCATGGTCATCAGTAAAAGAATGAGCCGAAAATGCGATAGTAGGTCGAGATCAAATAGGGGCAGAAGTTTTAATATCTGAGAAGTGTTTTGATGGAGGACGGTAAGTGCGACACTGAGATCTGAAGACGTATTGGGATGGCCAGTAACGCATTCCAAAAGCTGGGTAGAGTATTGC